GCCGTAGACCATGCAAAAACATCTAAATTTTCAAGTAAGAAGCGTACCAGTTTAGATCGTAGAGGCTCCTCAATGGAAGCGCCAATTTGAAGCGTTCGGGCTGGTCTTCCGTTGATGCCAGGATGGAGACGGTCTCTTCTATAGGCGCAGCTCGCTCCTCGCTCTACTTTGTAGGTCGCTCCAGCTTGAGGTCGTCGGCCACCTTGGCTTTCCCTTTAAGGGCGGTGACGTAGCATTTGCGAGACTCAAGCTGGTCACCTCGCGCTATCCCGATTCCGAAGTCTATGGGGAACTTCATGGCCAAGTAGTTGGTGGGATTGATGACCACGTGCCACTTGAACTCTTTGTGGGTAATACCTCGCTAAGCCGAGGAGGCTTTCTTGAGTTCTTGGGCACCTCTTGCTGGTGACAAAGTGGGAGGTGAAAACTTGCACAAACTGCGCCCAACTTCTTATCGAACCGGACGCAAGGTTTCGGTACCATGTGTGGGCTACCCCTTTGAATGTGGTGGAGAAGGCCACGCACATGCAGGATTCACTGGCCCTTGTCAGGTGCATCTGGGACTGAAAGGCATCCACATGATCATTCGGATCAAAGGATCCATCATACTTGTCCAGTGGAGGGAGCTTGAAGTCTCTTGGCATGGGGACAGCAAGAAGTTCTGGAGACAGTGGGGAAGGAACTGAGAGGAGAGGAGTAGCTTTTACTTCACCTGAGCTCACCTCCTCTTTACCTTTGAGCTCGGGCGAGACACGGGTAGCAATTCGGCGAGCTCACCATCTCCGCTGTTGCTTTGCCGGCTCAGCGTTGGTGCTGCTTTCTTCAGTGTTACCGAGCTCGATGGGCTCGGACTACTGGTGGTAGCTCTGGACCGAAGGGCCCTGCCTGGTGTCTATGGCTAGGACCTCAAACGGATTTTCTGCTTTCAGGAGCTCGAACTGTGAGTGCCGGGGCGATATGGGCTTGGCTGGCTGGGAGGCCCCCGACCTGCCCACAGGCTGCGAGGCGGGGGTGGTTGGCCTCTCCTTTCTGCCATGGGAAGAGACTTGGATCTTGGAGAGATCCTGGGCCTAAGAGGCTTCTCCCCGGCGAGGTTGTTCACTCCGGCGGGAGGGCTTGGTTTGCTTCGTGGCCGGGTGCCTAGGAGGGAGTGGCTGTTGGGCCTGAGGCAAGGAAGGGAACTGCTGCTGATACTGGTACTGAGAGACCTGATGCAGCACTTGTTGCTGRTAGAGTTGGAACTGCTGGAACTGCTGCATTTGAGCTTGCATGGCTYGCATGCACTGCACTAAGTCTTCCAACTAATTCTGGTTGGTCACTAGGGGCACAACCGAAGGTTCAACAAAGGTCGCTCCAACCGTGGAAGGGAGTGGAGCGTTCACGGGTGCCACTGTGAGAGGCACAATCAAGCTGGGGATTCCGTCCACAGAGAGGGAACGGTGAACTATCTAATACAGACAGTGGGAAGCTAGGGTTGCTCTCCAGATGCGTTGTGGTTGGCACCACGCTCGGCGTTGCTGGAGGAGGCCACGAATGCTAAGTTCTCGAAAGGAAAATGTAAAAACTTAGAGGAAGGCTTTTTTGAAGCGTTTCCCACAGACGATGCCAAATGATGCTACGCAATCCAGGCACTCCTAGCTGGCAGCTGACTAGCTCCTCACTGGCGACGGACAGTACCTGAGAAGAAAGCGGTGAAGGATTCCCGGGGGACTTGCCCGGTGGGAATACTCCGATGCTTAAGTTAGAACACTGAAGAAAGTAGTAAAGAGTGTAAAGAAGGCTAAGAGTGTAGGTCGCGCTAGATCACTGAGTTAGCTTGAGAGAAAGTTTGAGATATTCAAGATAAGAGATCAGATATTCGAGAGAGCCCTTCCCTTCAACTAGGGGGCTCTTATATATGAGCGTTCTTGTCAAATCGGGCATAACCGCCACTGTACCTCTGCCGCAGCCGTTATCTGCCAGGGCTGCGCAGGTAACCGTTGTAGTGTACTACCCAATCGGATGAGTGACACGTCCCGGAAGGACAGACATGCCACCACCTGTCAAGAAACGTGGGCCCAGACTTGTCGGGCTGGCAGGGATTGCACCGTCGGTGAGGAGATGTGGCGCAGTCTGACGAGTACGGTCTTGTCAGATATAAGCTTCTTGAAAACATCGCGTCGATTAGTAGCGAACTGCCCTGTAGCGAGCTATCCTGTCGCGAGCTACCTTGTATCGAGCTCCTGAGGGTATTGCAAGGTGATTCCTCTTGAAGTGGCCCTTGAGGCAGTTTTTTTGCCTAAGTATTGGAGCGAACTGGTTATCCTAGCTCACGAGCTGGGGTATACTTGTCTTGGAGTATTCCCTTTTAGTACATCGGGGGTCCTCGAGTTCATCCTATAGCGAGCTCATCCTATGGCGAGCTGTCCTGCGGACTCATTACTTAGTCGCGGTGAGGCTGTTGTGTTGAGTTGTTACTTATGCTGAGTCATGTCCACGTATCACCGTCTCAAAGGGTCGGGTCAAATCATCCTCCATCAATCTCCATTCCCTCTAACATTGTCCACCCTACCCTCAACACCTTTTTTTAATGGTCTCATTTTGTGTTGCGCAACCAAACTCTGACTCCAAACCATACCCTATAATCCCCAAAATTACATCCTCACCTAACCTGATGCCAAGAATATTACTACCATCATACCCAAAAACCACATTACCCTCACTCTTTGCATTTAAATAGATTGTAGACCCTATTAGTCACCCCTCTTCCACCTCTTCAGCAATACAATTCTTTGAATTGTAAAATGGGTTTTGACACATTACGCTTCACATACATGACAAGTGACCAACCACTAGATACATGCTTCAACAACACAAAAGTTGTTGAATCATACACAACATCCATCAACCCATCAGATAAACCCAAATTAGGTACCCTATAACTTCCTTCATTAAATACCCACAATTTCTATCATAGTTAGTAGTGTCCAATATGATATTTTATCAACATCTATCTTATCAATGAGCTTTACCCTCCCTAAAACATATAGAAAGCCCAGGTTATTCTCAAATTCCCCACCTATAAACCATTTCATTTGCATAGCCACATCTACAACCATTATTACACTCCATATACATGACAAGTGACCCACTATTGGGTACATGCTTTAACAATCCAAAAGTTATCAAACCATCCACAAATTCCATCAACCTATCAGATAAACCCAAATTAGGTACCCTATAACCTCCTTTAAGTACCCCCAGTCTTCTACCATAGTTAGCAGTGTCCGATACGATATTTATCAATGAGCTTTACCCTCCCTAAAACATATAGAAAGCCAGGGTTATTCTCAAATTTCCCACCTATAAACCATTTCAATTGCATAGCCACATCCACGAGAAAATAATTTGGATCATATACATCCAATCAAAAGATTAAACAAATCGTAAACAAGTAATTTAGAGCATAAACAATGCATAATTTAAAAAAAAAAAAAAACAATAAGCAAGATCAATGCTAACAAACAATAATGCCTCAGGTACTAGTAAATAGAGCCAATTGAAAACAAATTAAAAACACACAAAAAATGACAACACTTTATAAAAAAAAAAAGTATACTTTGTGTATCTTGAAGATTGGTAGAGTGGTGGATGCTTCAAATGAGAAAACACAATAGACTCCGTCCTACCTAAGATTTAATAGCACTTGTGTTTGAGGAGAAGACAAAAATTTTAACCTCCCTTTCACTAATAGTGAGGTATGAAGATGACCAAGTGCATGAAAAAACAATTTTGTCAATTTTAGTTGAACAGGAAGAGTACGGGGATTTAGGGTTCTTCGTCGACAATGGAATACAAGGTAGATGACCAAAATGTCTTCTTTCTCTTGGGTTTTTTTACCTTTCTTGTCATTTTAGGGTTCGGGGGGTTGGAGTGTGATGTCGTGTGTTTTTGTGTGGGACCCACCTATTAATCGGATGGTTGTGTAACAAAACTGTCGATGACATCTCTAACATCATATGCTTTTGCCTAATGCTGGCCTTTTCAGCTTAGTTTGAGGTCTAAATGGCCATTTTTATTCTTTAGGGTCAAAAGTGGCCTTTTAGCAAAACTTGAGAGTTGTTAGACCCAAAAATCCAAAGAAAAATAAGTCTATTTTTTATTAATGATGAAAATGAAATTTAAACTTTAAAAGCAATCCAAAAATAAAACTCTATTTGGTGGCAGGTCAACAATTCAACCTTTTGGGTCAAATGTGTCAATCCTATTAGAAAAAATACATAAACTTGATAAAAAACATTTGGGAACATACCTAATTTTCATCATATTTAAAAATAAATGTTATAAATAAGAATTATTTTTATACAAATAGAAATAAAAAATATGAAAAATTTTGACAAATATTATTACTATTATTATATATATATCACAATATTCAGACTAATTTTATTAATAGATACGATATAAATTTTAAGTATAATATACGAGAATATATATATATATATACAACAAATCGAACCCAATTATATTGAAATAGATAGGCCATCGATCGAATTCGGATCACCCTCGATGGAATACAATTGGATTTAGAATTTCAACGATTGGATACCATTTACAGCCCTTAAATCATTGTTCTAAACTTCTAATATAATAATACTCCTGGTAGTATCACACTCTTTCAATCCTTCGGAAACTCAGCAGTTTCTAAGTGCCGTGACGCGTCAAACAGCACTTCCACGCGCAGACGTAGGAAACGCAACCTCAACCATCTGTTTAGTGTTCCTGAAAGCAACAACAAATACCTAGTAGAACTAGTAGAGTCTAGATGCAGAAGAGCCAATAAAAACTAAACCCTAGAAACTATTCACAGATTTCTACATATACCACAATAATATTGGTGGGTCAAAACATTCCCAATCCTTCTTTAATAAGAAATCATTGAACCAACTTCATGGGATCTATAAATAGTCGCCACAGAGAGCACATTAACCAGTTGCAGCTCCTCCACAAACCAAACTGCAATGGAGGAGTTACAGGTGCTCGTCGACCAGGGTAAAGTTGACGAGAATGCACCCAACAAAGAAGGGAAGAAGCTGGAGTTGACCGTAGACAAGGTGATCGAAGAGCACGTAGGCTCGTTTGGGATTGCTCAGCTGGTCCATGTCTTCATGGTGTCGCTGGCCTGGTTATTCGACTCACAGAACACGTTGGTGACAATATTTTCAGACGCGCAGCCTTCTTGGAGCTGCAAGGGCGGTGGGTCGTGGTGCCAGCAGGGCTCGAAGGGGTCCATGTGTGGGCTTGAGCAGGAGACGTGGGAATGGGTCGGAGGAAACGCTAGCTCCACCATTGCTGAGTGGGGGCTTGTCTGTGATCGCAAGTTTCAGGCTGGTATTCCGGCATCCTTGTTCTTCCTCGGCTCCCTCTTGGGTAAGTTTTAATTTGCTTGTTTTGTGGAATTACGTTGAGAATTGGAGGTTATTTTGGTCATTTAATGGTTTGGTTGTTCCTGGATCCTAGCTCACCGTATCCATGGTTGTGTCGATCTCCGGTTATTTTCTTTTTTTTTTTTTTATTTGATGGGTGTTTGCCTGTTTGGTTCGAAGAATGATTTATTTTTTTTTTAAATTACTTCTTTAAGACAGATACTTTGAAGAGTTTAGGCTTCTGTTTGGGTTGATAGAAAATAGAAATTAGAGTTAAAGTTCTTAAGAACTGCTTCAGGAAGAACATCAATACTGCAAGGAGCTATTGGGTTGGAGGGTAATAATTTATGTTGGGACTCAGGACTAATGAAGTGGCTTTGGGTTATCCACCAACCCAACCCAAGTCCATAAGACACGTATTTTATGCATGCTATAATTTAGACTATGAAGCACAATTGAGGTGAGAGTACAATGCATAAATAAGAAGACTTTTGTATCAAAGAAAAAAAAAAAAAAAGAAAAGAAAAAGTAATAAGAAGACTTTCAAACCTAAGTCTGTTCAACCCCACTAAGCCTGTGCAAGTCCAACACTAGCCTGAGTTGTGTTGGGTTCATTTTCAGATGCATTTGGATTTACAAACTCAAGCTTTGACATGGGATTGGTCCCAAGATAAAGCCCAAGGTTCAGTCTTAATGTTGGGCCTGGATTGCTGGTCTTATTGAAAAATCATGACTGGCGTGGTTGCAGAGTTATGAAACTAAATTAAATTTGATTTGGGATTAAAGAATGTGAACTAGATTTCTACTCTAAATTATGAAATGATGCAAGTTAAAATTTAGGGTAGGATCCATGCCACTCTACATACATTTTATTTTGAATTAAAATTTATTTAGCCGCCCCTTTTTTGTGGGCAGGAGGCTTGGCTACATGTTTGAAGGAGAATCTCTATTGTCTGAGGATTTTGTTTTATTTTGGCACATGCAGAGATGGTTGGTTTTGGGGAGAAAAATAAAGGAGAAACAGAACAGAAATTTTAATAAGGAAAAAGTCATTATGAAAAGAAAGAAAGACAGTGGGAGTTAACAGAAGCAAGAGTTAGGAGAGAGGGTAGATACAAACTAAAGAGAAAAACAAAAATATTCATGTAAAAAGATGGACCATGTGCTTAGTCTTATGAGTGAATTAAAAGTTATTTCTTGAAAAGTTCATGTTTGTGAGAGCTTATTTTTTAGTGCGTATTTGAATAAGCACTTATGGGCGAGGACCACACCAATGTCCAATAAGAACTTATTTGCATTTGGGAAATAAGCCCCAATAAATGTTTATTTTGATGAATAAGCACTTATTCAAGAAGCACAAATTCTGAAAAACCTTTAAGAACTTATTGAATAAGTGCTTGCGCATCTTGACCAGCCAAATCATTTGAAAATACTTGTATATAGTAACCCCTATTTGAAATAAGTGCTTTTTCACCAAACACTCAAGTAGGATCCTCCTAAAAGTCATAAGAAAAGCCATGTAATTATCTTTAGATTTTCCTTTTCCTTTTGTTTTGTGAATAAGATGTTGTACTAGGACTTTCTTCATCAATAAGTGTTTTGTTTTGTTTTGTGAATAAGATGTTCTTCTGCTAGCTTGACATCCAATTTTTGTATATTTTTCTGTCTGAACACGCTCTCTCATGCATGCTGATAGTTATCACTTCTCACTACTGGTGGCTTCCCAGGCTCTGCTGTTTTCGGCCGCTTGGCAGACTTGTATATAGGAAGGAAAAGAACAGTTCTCCTGTCATGCCTCCTAACGTCCATGACTGCCTTCTTGACATCTCTTTCTCCGAATGTGTGGATCTATGCCCTACTCCGTTTCTCAAATGGGTTTGCTCGAGCAGGCATTGGGATTTGCTGCCTCGTCCTCTCAACAGAGGTTGTTGGGAGAAAATGGCGAGGACAAGTTGGCCAATATGGTTTCTTCTTCTTCACGGTCGGTTTCCTTTCTCTCCCTTTGATGGCTTATCCTAACAGAACCTCCTGGAGAAACATATACAAGATTATTTCCCTTCTCCCCTTTGTTTACTCCATTCTCATCCTTCCTTTTGTCTCTGAATCGCCAAGATGGCTGGTGGTTAGGGGAAGAACCAAAGAAGCACTAGAAGTTTTAAGGGTGTTAGCAAGAATGAATGGGAAGAAACTACCCATGAACCTACATATTTCTAACCCTTCAACCAGCAGCAAACTCAACGAACCAGATGTTACCAAGAGCCTGTGGTCAGCAAGGTGGGCTACAAGAAGGATGATCACCGTGATGATCGCTGGTTTAGGAGTTGGGTTTATGTACTATGGCATACAGCTGAACGTCGAAAACTTGAATTTCAATCTTTATTTGACAGTTGTAGTGAACGCGACGATGGAGATTCCAGCAGTTTTCATTGGTAGCTTGCTCCTCAGCTTCATGAACCGCCGTTTACTGTTCTCATCATCAACTTACATTGCTGGAGCTTCATGCATTATCTGTATTTTCTTCTCACGAAAGAACAGTACTGTAATGGGAGGCCAAGGGAAGAATGAAGAAGAAAAAGGAAACTGGACTCAATTAATTATAGAGGCTATCGGGTTCATGGCAGCCTCAACTGCATTCGATATACTATATATTTACTGTGTTGAACTCTTCCCCACCAATGTAAGAAACTCTGCAGTGTCACTATTGCGCCAAGCATTAATGCTGGGAGCATCGATAGCACCTCTTCTAGTAGTTCTAGGCCGTTTAAGCCCATCTCTGTCATTCTTGATTTTTGGGGGCTTTGCAATCCTCAGTGGTATCTTAACACTATGGCTTCCTGAAACTAGAAATGCTCCTCTCTATGAAACACTAGAGCAGCAAGAGGAGGAAGAAAAGCTTAGCTCAGCTTCTGATTCAGAATTAGAACTTGGGAAGCAATGAAGGAACTTGTATCTTCGCATTGTGATCTTAGGCAGGATCAATAGTTGTGTAGTCTTCATGTAATTTAGCTTGCAATATACAATGCAGTTCTGTAAGATTGAGTCAGTTTTATCTAAAGCATTTATGATAACTTACCACATATAAATCCATACATGCATCTACTAGATTGTGGGCCTGACAAAAACTCAATGCCTTTCAGCATAAATTTGTATCATTTCAGGCATAATTATAGCCTCTGCATAGATAATTTAGACCAGGCAAACCAATCATAATTACAGACTGTTTTAGGTAAGACCTAAATCATAAGTTTAAACCATCTTCATTTTAATTTAATTTTGGATCAGACTCCTATTAATTCTTGGTAACCTGAACTACTACTACTGGAGGGTTATGGTAACCTTCTTTTCCAAGATACAGAGACGAATCTATATGGTTGCAATTACCCCTTTACTAACACTCTTATGGGAGATAGGATGTCCATTAAAAATAAAAAAGTAGCCCAGTGGAGGAGGCTCCTACCAATGCAGGAGGGATGTACCTAGCATTACCCCTATTACCCTATACATAATACATATAGAGAGGTTTAGGTTGTTTCCAAGATTTGAACCCTGGTTTCCATTGAACAACCCAACCATTTGCACCAACATCCATTGAAAATAAGAAATATTAAAATAGCACAATTCCATCTAAATACATGCTAAATTTATCTAACAACAAGCAATAAAATTAATCACATCAACACAAATTAATATAAAATAGAATCTATTTAGATTCCCTTTACAAATGATATTAAATAAAAATTAGTAAACTTTTTAATTTTAATTGATCAACTTCAAACATATTTAAATCCCACTTAAAAATAATAAAAATTAGTACAAAACTATGTAACAATAACTATAAATTTATCCAATAATAATAATAATAATAATAATAATTAAAAATAAGAAAAATAAAAATTGTACAAACTATTTTTATCAATTTAAAACATATTCACATTCCATTTAAAAATAATATAAACTTATTAGAATAATAAAAATAGTAGATTTTAATGATAATTTATAACTTTTCTAAGGCTAATTAATAGAATTTTAAATTTTAATATTTAATTATGACAACATTAAAATGAATTGTAAAGTAATTTCTAATTTATTTTTATAATTAATTAAACTTTAAAATTATATAACAATAATTAGTAATAAGTTAAAATTTAGAATTAATTATTTTTAAGCCAATTTAAAAGTTAATTAACGTAATTAATAATTAACTAACTCATAAAATAAAAGTTTTGTAAAATGGATATGTGCATAGGAAATTAATCACTATAACTAGGGTTCAACTAGAATTACAATCGTAACGGCTATACATAACCCAAAAATAATATTCAGCATTCGACTAAGCATTTTCAATTCATCATTGATCTGAACAGTGGAACTGTTCAAACCATCACCAAGTCCTAGTTTTGGTTTCATATTTCTTGAAACATAGAAATTGGTCAAAACCCATTCGACCCAAGCAGTAAACCATTTGGCCCGCTTTATATGCATTCTTTAGGATGATATAACTTTGTGCTCAATTGACCAATTGGGGTGATCAAAGGACTGAACGCGTCTTACCCCACTATATGACTTGGAGGAAAAATAGTTCAGCCTCCAAGTGGGTTTTTAAAAGTGGCCAAACTTAAACCAATTTAGCTCAATTTGATATGTCATTTGACTTCTTTTTGTTTCAATTTTGTTTAACAAAATTTGTGTCTTGGATAGTAAATTCCTAAATCTAAAGGAAAAGTTTTCTTCCTAGATAGTTTTACAAAGGATAATCCAGAGCTACTTGTTGGTTGAATTGTAGGTACCACTGACCTGGAGGTGCTCTGCAAAACCCATTATCAGGTGTGTGAAAACCTTAGAAAGTGTTGCATCTCCACAACCTCTTTTAATTTGGAGAAATAGAGAGACGGGACTGAATTTAGTTGCTTGTCAGTCCCAATTTTGCTAAAATACAAGTTTTTGGAGACTCACCTAATGTAAACCAAAGAAATAGGTTGACTTGGAAAGTCACATGCCCACTGGAAATAAGAATTTTTTTATATATCCTGATAAAGAATAAGCTCCCCTCCAAAATCAAGAGGACACTGATCATATTTTTAGGGTGTGTTACTTTACTCATTAGGTTTGGCTTTTAGCCCCCCTCCCCCCCTTTTGGGCCGATCAATCAAAATATCAATATTTGGGAGTTGTGTGCTGGGATGTGTGAAAGTCAAGGCAGAGATGAGAATTTAATCTTGGAAAAAAAATGCTTTTATGCTTTGGGTTTTGTGGAAATGCAGAAATCAAAAAACTTTCTCTAATATTTCTACTCCTCCCTCTTTGGTCATTAAGAGGGCTTTTGATCATTTTAATGACTTCTAGAGTAGTACTCATTCTAAGCAAGTTGATAAACCTTCCAAATCATGGAGACAAGTCATTTGGAAGAGCCTCAAGAGGGGGTCCATTAAAATCAATTTCAACGCCTCCTGTGTGGATGGGAAGTGTTTTATTGCAAGCATTGCCAGAGACTTCTCCGAAAATGTTCTTGACATTAAAGGTTATAAATTGGGATACACCACCATCAACGTTGCTGAGGCTTGGGCTGCATGGAAAGCACATAATCTTGCTCTTAACTTCAAAGACACTCTCATTATCATCGAAGGCGGCTCGAAGCTGGTCATTTCTTGTCTTCAGTGGTCCACTTCCCTCCATGGCATTTAAGGAGCATAATTTCTAGCTGTAAAGAGCTCGTGGATGCTTTCAATCTGCAGATTTCTTACCACCATGTTTTCCGGGAGGCAAATCAAGTGGCTGATCTTTTAACCTACTTAGCACTAAAGAACCCGGGGGACTCCCTCTCTCTTGACCCCTCTAATCTTCCCTCTAGTTTGTCTTGTGTAGCACATTTTGGTTTCCATAAAAATAAAAATAAAAAAAAAAAAAAAAGAACTAGAGTTCATGAGCTAAGCTATTTTCTGGGAAGGTATTAGCACCCCATACACACCCGATTAAACAATTAATGGGCCTCTACTTTGTTGAATTATCAATTTAAAATTAGCAATTCTACGTTGAAATTAAACTACCAATTAGCACAACACAAACAATACTAAAAATTTAAAACTAATTAAGATATGCAAGAATTAAATAAAATCTATCAAGGAAAGTTAAATCCGATTTAAAGAAAGAAAATTGAGATTTAAAGCGAACGAAACCACTTTGCTATCACATTAAGATGCCAAATAATTAAAAATAAAGTAGATCTAACAAGTAACTATAATGCCAAAACTAACCCTAATCAAATATTTAGAACAATCACAAATTAGCAAGATTAATTTATTTTTAATACAAGGCAAATATCTAGAATGATATGTTAGAATGAAACTCTAATCCTAAAGACTTAAGTTAATGTGAAAGTACAAACTAAGGCTGCATTTGGAATCAGTGTAAAATGTCATCAATGTAAAAGTACACTAATGACGTTTTACACTAAACTGTGAAAGTGACCGTTGCTTTTTGAAGAACGTGATGGTGAAAAGTGTAAAATTTTATATCAATAAAATTGATGTAGTATTTACATCGACAATCGATGTAAAACTTTACGTTTGATAGGTTATACATCGATTGTCGACGTAAAACTCCACTCCATCCAAACATATACACCGATGACGTTTTACACTGAATTGTGAAAGTGACCGTTGTTTTTTGAAAAACGTGATGAAGAGTGTAACATTCTAATCAATAAAATCATCGTAGTATTTGCATCGACAATCGATGTAAAACTTTATGTTTGATAGGTTATACATCGATTATTGACGTAAAACTCCACTCCATCCAAACATACACAAAACTAAACCGGAGTGGAGTTTTATGTCGAGTATGATTACACTCTCCTTCCAAACGCGGACAAAATCAAACTGGTATAAAATTTTACACCGTTCTTGATTCACACCGATTCCAAACACAGCCTAAGGGTCTATTTGTTTGCATTAAAGTTTGACATTTGAATGCCTCTGAAACATAATAATTACTTTTAGAGATGCATTGGTCTTGGTAAACTTTTCTTGGTACAGATATTTGAATACATAAAATGTTGTTCTAAAATCTGAGCAATTAATGATTAATTAATATTTAATGATTAATTAATTAATTAATTAATTGATAATTATTTTAAAAAGAACATAAGTAGTAATTATATAATTTATTACTAATTAATTACATAATGCTTTTTAAAGAATTAATTAACTAAAAAAATAGTTAATTAGAATATACATAACTATATATTTATGTAATTAATTAGTTAACTTATAGTTAGTTAAAATAATCAAATATTAATTAATTAAATAATAATTTCATGTAAATAATTAAGTAATAACTAATAATTAATAATTAATAAAAATTAAAAAATAATTAATGAAATATTAATTACTAATAATCAATTAACTATCAAAGCTAATGTTTTTATTATTTTTATTATTAATATATTCATATTTAATATTATTTCTAATCTTGTTTATTATTATTTATAATATTAAAGGAAGAAGGAAGACTCAAATTATTATTCTATGTGGAGTCCTCAAATAGGAAAGCATCTTATGGGTATTTTTCAAAAACAAAAACAAAAATATGTGAAAAGATGGGTAGTGATCCATAAATTAAGTCTAAAGTGCAATTTTTTGTACAGATCACTTTAAGACTTCAGTTATCAGCAGTATCGAGTGGTGCCTAAAATGCTAAAAGGGTTCGATTATGATATGGGAAAGATATGATATTTAAAATTTTTTTGGCAATTATTAAAATATTTATCAAATGCTTGTTTAACGTGCTTATTTATATTATGCCTACTAGATCCGGTCCGGTCCGGTCCCGTATTTATAGAGGTAGGATGAATTCAAAATATTTGCAGGTCTTACATAAAGCAATTTCTTAGGCTCCAGTGTTGGGATTCTCAAAAAAAGTGATCCAAGTCAACTCTCTCTTGGGCCTGCCATGGGATTTTGATCCAAATCAAGAGCGTTTGGAAGATCTTTACTAAGAGGCAAATTCGTAGAAGTCAACAAGTAATTAACAATATATTAAAGTTAAACAACCACTAATTAATTCTCACAAAAATCAATATATAAATATAAAAACAGATAACAGATAACATAGCTAGAAAACAGATCTGATCTGCAATACAACACGCCGTGTAATGACAAAAACGAGTTACTCCTTCCCAAATAGGCACGCAAGGTAGAGATATCAAGGACTAGCAGCTGATGGGGGTGGAGAGAGTGAAGGAATTGCTGGGATCGCTGGGATCGTTGGGATTGCTGGGATCTGTGGGATAGAAGGGATAGTTGGCACTGTTGGTGGTAATGCTACTTTGGGAACAGAAGGGATTGTTGGAATGGTAGGGATGGTTGGAATTTTAGGGATTGTTGGAATAGTTGGGATGGTTGGTATAGAAGGCAATGGGGGCATCGTTGCCAGATTGGGCACCACAGGCAAAGGTGGCAATTGGCCTCCTGTTGGTAGTGTAGGCAACGTAGGTTTGGGCAACCATGGAATGCTTGGTATTGCCGGCAATGGAGGTGGAGCAACTGGTGCAGTGTCGAGCAGGTGGCGAGCGGCCAGACATATGTTGTTGCTGCTTGGAGATAAGAGTGTTGTGAGGAGGAACACGTAGAAGAATGTGTTGGAAGCCATGACAATGTGGTAGCTAGAAGGCTTATTGTGAGAGAAATAAACTGGGTATATTGGTTGAGTGATGAAGAGAAGCAAGCAACAAGCAGGGGTTGAGTATTTATAGATAGTTCTTTATGGAGAATTTTGAGTGTTTAGATAACCAAACAGAGCTACAAATAAGTCGGTCTGACAAGTGTTGATGAATTTGTTGGGTTTATTGTTCAAGTTTGTTCACCTTCTTTCCCACGTCCATGGAAGAGTGAAGAGGAAGACATCTACGACTACGAGTGAGATATAAAAACTATTAATAATACTGATTAAAGTAACATTTATTGATAAATGGAAAGCATCTTCAAGAAGAAGAAGAAGAACCATTTTATTTTACACCCAATTAGGGCATTTCTTGGGTTCAGATGGGCTGTAGAGCACTTTGGTATTGGGCTGTATTGTATCCCCAACTGGGATGAAGTGTTTTATGTTAAGAGTTCAAATCAGCCCCCCACAAGATTGCCCCTCACAACGTCCCACAGCACATTCTCGTTGTATATTGGGAACATCTCCCAATGATAATCCCACAAATGATGATGTTATCATTGGGAGATGTTCTCAATCCAGGGCGGGGATGTGCTGTGGGATGTTGTGGGGGCCAATCTTGTGGGGGGCTGATCTGGTCTCTTATCTTAACTATTCGTATTTCCCTCTGGTGGTGGGCTAGACAGGAAATTGCGCAAAATTGGAAATCTCTTTAATCTTAACTATTCATCACACAAAATCACAAAACAAAACAAATGCAACAAGTAATTTAACATATGTAAAACCTCATATGCAAGATCGTTTAAATTTAATAAAGCCTCAAATGTAACAAGTAATTTAACAAAACAAAACGTAGCAGTAACAATTTCCTCTTTAATTAATTTGAATGCTCCAAATCAAAGTAGAGAAGAAAGTAGGTAGGGAACAAAGATGCAAGGCAAGTGATATGTATGACAATGGAGAAACTCGGAGCTAATTTGTTGGTCACAGGAAACCATGGCTATGGGTTCTCAAAGAGGTGGATAGACTGTAGTAGCATTTAACTTAATTGTATTTGTATTTAACTTAATGTCTATTTAGACTTAATTGTATTTGTATTTATTCATGTATTTTTTTTTTTGAAAAATTGAAAGAAAATGAAGGATAAAAGAGTCACAAGATTTATAATTAAGTCTATTTGAAAAACTCAGGATATGTTTAAGTCAATTTATGAAAACTCGGGATATATTTAAGTCTTTTACCCTATGTTAAAACATGTGATAGTTTCAACTCACTTAATTAACAATTAAATCTCAAAACTAAGATCTTTAATAGGACATTTATTAAAAGAACCTAGTTGAAAATTTAAAACCTTTCATCTTTTGTATTTCTATAGCTTAATCTGTTATACTTGGTTGCTGGGTATCACCAATCTAATACTATGACTAAAAATACATATAAAAGTTCTATGGATGGGCAAGGTCTGGTTTTTATCTCTATCTCTGAACTTCAAATATTCAACCCAAGCCCAAATAGAACTAAGCCAAGCTAAATTGGAACCGAAAATCAATCTAATTTAAAAACGATTATAGCCCAAAATTGTTAGAGAATAAAATCCTATTTTGGAATTTCACCTACTAGATTAAGCTTTTAAGTTGAATTGTTTCTTAAGATGGTATGGGAGCCTGTTTGACTAAAATGGTTTATGATTCAATTCTTGCTGGTTCATTAAAGCTAATTAAATTTAATCACATGTATTTTTCCACGATTCAAGCCCGATGAACCCTCATGTGAAGGGTCTTGCTAGAGAATAAAAACCATTTCAAGAACCTCACCTATCAATTTAAGCTTTTAGGTTGATTGGATCCTAAAGAGAACTCCAAATCTTGATAAATAAAATATTGTAGTTCAGAATAGGGAAAGAGATTCTGTATTCTTTTGTCAACATAAGATACTAATGTTTCAGTGCAATTGGAGCGAACTCCACCCTGGGGTTCGACCCCAGACCAATATTAGCTAGGTAGGTCTCCTTGGGCTTGGGTGGTTGTGCTGGTTCACCAAATCCATCTAAAATTCTAAACATATTCTATTGTTTTTTCACCCAAAAATCTCTTTTTGCACCTAAATCTGGAATGTATCAGATTGAACTTGTGCAAGGTTTTTGTTGTACGTTTTTACACATGATGATTGATAAATAGTAAATAGAGGGCCAAGTACTATTTGTTGCACCCTAGGAACTCTTGGAGATATGAACATTGACCAATCTTAGGGTTTAATTAGTTTTTATACAGTAAAAACCAACTGTAAAGTTAAGAGATAAGATTATCTCTTCAAATTAATGAAGATTGTTTTACAGTTATCTTCATGACAGTAAAGGGCTATCTGTGCGAAGGGGGAAGGAGCCATTGCTGCTCTGGAAATGTAACATTTCATATGTAAAGACCAGAAGAAAGCAGAACAATATATAATGAGGAGTACTGAGACTATCTAAGGAAGCAGGCCAATAGGACGTTGTTCAATTTTTTTCCACCTACCATTCTACCGTTAGAAATGGGCGTTCACAGTTTGACACACAACCTTGGGTTTTCAAACCTATCTTAATCAATTCTAAATTTTGCTCAACAACCAACCTGCACCTATAAAGAGGGATAAGGGGAAGCAAAATGAAACGAAAATATAAGAAACGGAGAAAAAAAAAAGGACTTAGACAAACAGAAATAAATAATTTTTAATATATAAACATTTTTAATAGTTGGTTTGCACCGCTACAGATGGTGCCAATTGAATCGGATGGTAGAGACTTTGGGAACCATTCTCGTCTTCACCACTTCACCAGGGTTAAGGGAGACAATTGAAGGATGGGCTAGTGCAAGGATTTCGAATCGCCATTGACCTAGACAGTTGGACCATTCAGCCCGGAAACCGTCTAGGTAATCGGTTCTGTTTTATCTCAAACCTGGTCTTTGGCCAAAAATTATTGAAAAAGTCAACAACCTATTAATCCGAACAGTCGAACCATCGACTCATTGACCTGTTCAACAGTTTTTAACTGTTTTTTTTTTTTTTTTTAATTTGCTTGTTAGAACGAACCAGACAGTTGGACCATCAACCCGAAAACCAGTGACCAGAATGATTCACTTTTGGGGTCATTTTTTAAAACATTGGACTAGAGATAATATTCCTGATAGCAGAGATTGTGTGCACACTTTAAAAGCACGGCGTTCAGCTGTATATCGGGAATATCTTTCCATGATTTTAACATACGAGTACAATAATACAAGTACAATAGATATTCTCGACTAGATGCAATGCTTTCAGGAAATCCTGGGTGCTTTGGACTTAGCACCGATTGTGTAGCCTAACAATAAAAGGAAGAAAAATTAAGTTTTGTTTGAATAGGCTTTTGCTTTTAAAACCTTGGGTTATGGAAAAAAAGTGAGCCAAAAAAGTATTTTCCATGTTCTATAAGAAGTGTTTCTAAATCATAACAATCTAATGCTAGAACATTGTCCAAACCATGAAGCCTAAAATTGGGGCTTTAAAATCACAAATCTATGAGGTTGTGTTTGGTGTTTTCATACCTTTCCTTTCAAACCAAACACGACCTAAGTTTATCCAAATTCGACACTAGTTGGTTCTAGCTAATAGGCTTGCAGATGCAACCGATAGGGGCCAATCCAACTGACCTAACCCGATTTTGGCACCATTTGGATTACCCCCCAATCTATGACCCAATCTGATTTTTGGATGGTTGGGGTAGGGTTGAAGTTTTGGAAACCTGATCCAGCCTGAAGCTATACACCTCTATTAATATCTTCTTGTGGATTCCTTAAATATTCATGTCATTTTAGTTTTAATTAGGAAACCCGAAAGGGTCATTTCACAAAAATAAATTGAGACATTGTAAAGTTAGTTTTGATTGGGTTAGATTTTAGACACCCATGCCACGGGTTAGAGTTGGATTGATTTGACATGATCTGACTCAACCCAGATGGGATTGCATCTCTACTCAACCTAACCCAATGTTAACTAAAAAGGAAGTATATGAATGGGTGCTGCTTACTTATGCTCCTAACCTACCTCTACTCTAGGGGTGATCATGGGCCGATGTGGTCTCGGCATGCATCAGAACATCTCTCATACTTGTCATAGGAAAATATTCCCAATATACAATCGGAATGTATTGTAGAGCACGCCCTGTGGAGTGCCAATGTGAACTCTAGCCCAGATCCCAGGCATAAAACATAAGCCTGGGCCCAGGTCTACATTGGCTGAACTTTGGGCCTGCGATATATATTGTGGATCGAGCCTGGTCTAAAATATTGGGCCAATGAATGGTCTGCCCATTCCTTTTATACAGTTATTTTCATCTCTGCCCGTAGGGCTTTATAATCCATAGGAAATGGGTTCCTAATAAGCCCTAATAACATAATTCTCCTCGGGGATTTGCACACACTCATTGCCAGAGTTCAAGGAGTTGTACATACTCGTTTATGGGGGTGTAAACTCAAATGCTTTTGTAAAAATTTGATTTTCCAAGACAAATAAGATGTATTAGCTTGAAAGTTTCTTTATATGGTTAGGACACTATGACGTGTCAGGGACCTTGAGTTTATCCTTTGATCAAACCAAGGTTCCAACATGAACTCTCTCATTGACCCTAAATCTTTTCCCTTTCTTGAACTGAACTCTAAGAATTAACCCTAACCATCCAAATTTCTTATCCTAAACCCATCCTTGAGATCAAAACCTTTTCTATTTTCCAACCCCTAAAGTTGCTTAAACACCCCCTAGAAGTCATCCAAACATCATTTAAGACACCATGGCCTTCTCAGAACCATTGAACATTAATTACCTTCAAACACCAGGCACCTTGATCCCCTACACATCAAATTCCACTTTGAACCAATCATCCCTTACCATTAAATTCTAGAACCCCAAAAACCCCTACCTACCAAATTTCACACTAGAAATCCCATGTTTAACCTCCAATCAAGCCATGATTCCATTTTAGCTTCTCTCATTAGTTGAGAATTTCCAACACTAAAAGATCATCTAGGCACCCCTAGGTTGAACCAAGGCCACAATTGATTCTAAAATCCTCAAAAAAATGCAATCACACTAAATATCACTCCAAAAAGCTCTAGTTTGACTCTTCTATTAGAAAGATTCCATTTCGTGCAGTCTAATTAGTTAGCTTAATAAAACCAGCCTACACTCTCATAACCTAAACTGAACGCTCTTCCTCTTGTACTACTAAACATGATATGACCACCGGCTTCTCCTGATGAAGATCCAACTTCATATGTTGAATGGGTAGGAGTGGCCATGGTTGAGGAACCCAAAGCATGGGAAGTTGCACCCCTCTTCTCACAAGTAAAACTTTCCTTTCTAACTGTTCAATTAGATTTTGCATCTGTAATTTCAAAAAGAATCTTAGTACCTAAACAAATTCAATGCCAATCATATGGATAGGTTCTTAGATAGTTTTATTACATCTACAATTGTATTATTGGTATTTGGGGGAGGTGCATGGTTGTCCCTTCTATTGTGCCCAAATACACTACAGATAAAACACCTAATTGTCTTATATTCTAATGGGGCATGGTTTGATGGACCTGCCTCATCCTCTTCTCTCCTTCTATTGACTAGAGGTTGGCTTGGCCGCCTTCTCACCGTTAGGGGTCTAACTGGATGGTGTTCTACATGTGGCCAATATTTCTGCCCCGATAGAGCATGAGTACAAGAGATGCCACTAATGTCCTTGAAGGCTCTATCACACAAATCTTCCACTCTACCCCTTGTTTAAGTCAGCCCTACAAGTGCATGAGTACAAGGGATGCCACTAATGTCCCAAAACATGTGCATGTCTTTGCATCCATCATTGTGACATTATCAACTAGGTCATTCCCCAGTACCTAGTACTCATATTGTCTTGAGCAGAAAACCCTAACAGGCTTGCATATGCATTATACAATAAGTATATAGGCAATGAACCATTCAAGAGAATAACATAAAACAAAAAAAGGAAATAAGGTGTATACTAATTAAACATTGAATGGCTTCCCTCCTATCAATGATTGATTACACCTTTTGTAATAGCTCAACACCAGGTGCATTGGCAACCTCATGTCTTTCATATATATTTTGCATCCATCTTTTCTGTATATCTTCCAACATTTCAACAATGGGTATTATTCTAGCCTTTCCAATCTAGGAATTAAATGACTTGGTCCAATTGTTTGTAATGTCATCTAAGTTAACTACAAAGTCAAACCCATGTTTGGACCATGTCTCTAGGACTATTCTACTAATCTAGTCATATGCATCTTTGAAGCAGCTCTGGATAACTTCCATGTATTGAATAAAGTCATATTGGAGTGTATGATTTCCCGATAGCCCAAACAGCACCCTTCAATGCCTTCCCCTTGAATATTTTGTTGAAGTTGTATAGGTGTCGCAAACAGAATTTGTGGTTTGCACCAAGCATGCCAACTAATACTCCCTCAATTATGACCTGCACATAAGCATTGGGATAGTATTAAAATGCACATACAACCAAGTGAAGCAAACCCTAAATACAATCAAATGTAAAATATGTACACACCTTCTGTTTGTTTGGCATAAAGGTCCACCTTTGTGTCATTAATACCTAATCCATCTCTCAACTTAGCCAAAAACCACAACTAACTATCCTTGTTTTCAGCCTCCACTACAGAATATGCAATAGGGAATATGCCATTGTTCCCATCAACCCTATAATTGAGAGTATTACACCTCTTACTACACCAGTCTTAGTAATGGCAACCATCTAGTCCAACAATTTTTCTGTAACCCTCCAATAAACCTTTTTTTGGTTATACAAGGAAAATGAAGACTCTCTTGAAAATTTCAAATGTTTCTTGTTTTGTGGCAAGTGGGGCATGTAGTTTGATAACAGACCTGGGGTTACCTGTCAATAGAGTTGTACAGTACTGAGGTAGTCTGATTTAGCCAATGACTCTCTGATCCTATCAATAGCTTTTAGCCTGGCTCTATGTATTTTTCTCCAAGGGACTTCTATTCCATACATCATTTTGACTTCATATATAAGAACATGACTTAACATGTTAAGATCAACACATAACAGCCCTTCAATCTTTGAGAACAGCCATCTATTGGTTGCCTCCCTATTTGTTGTCACCCTAAAACATGTATGTGTATAATGGAGGGTCTTCACAATGAAGCTACCATCATCATGGCTGAGGGATGCATGAATCCTCTAGCCATAGTCCTTAGCAATACAAACCCTAATGAATTTACACTTCTCATTTTTCTTTCTTTTAATCTCTATACCCTTTACCACACACTATTGCCTCACTGCATGGCTAAACTTTTTCACTGTGGCAAATTCCATCCCAACCCAGAATCTTGGGTTGGAAAATTCAAATTCAAGTTCACCCCTTTGATTGCGCCTCCTTACACCAGATTCCCCTCCACATGGGCTGACATAATCACTTACCAGCTCATAATCAAATAAATCAGCCCCATTCCCACCTCTATTTCTAGTTCCTACCACACATTCATCACCACCACCCTATACACCTTCAACATCACCACGTGCCACACCCTCATTATCCCCCTCATGACCTACTACAACACCATCCACACCCTCATCATCTCAATCCTCATGCTACCCATCTTCAGCATCCCCATCACAGCCTAACTCATCATCACCATCATGACCCCACATCACCATCACCTTCTAACCCCTCACCATGGTTATACTCTTCATCAACTACACATTCAACATCAACTACATAACACTCATCATCATCTTCTTCCAACTGGTCTTTCCCCTTGCCACTGCATCCATCATCTACACTAACACACTTAGCCTCAGTATATGTAACATAAAACATTATCTCATGTAAGGCACCATGTGTGGAAAACATTACCAACACGTCATTCTCACATCCCAACACACCTAAGTGCTCCTCTAACTCCCATCCTAGTATCTTGAAGTTGATGGTCACCACAAGGTTCAAAGTATCGACACATATCAGCCTGTATTGGCCGATATGTATTGTTTCGAGACACAGCCGATACGTATTGTTTCGAGACCTCCCCGATATGCCCCTATAGTGGGTGTATCTGGGTTTTGACCGGTTAAGGGGTGGAGGAGCCTTAAACCACCCCTGAACCGGTTTTGAAAAAAAAAAAGTAAAAAAAAAAGGTAGGAGTATCAGGCATATCGATATTTTTAACCTTGGGTCACCATATTCCTAGGTACCCTAATCATACTGCAAAAGTCATTCAAAATGTCTAAATAACATATCCAATCACTGCCAACATTGTCCACATACCCAACCTAACCATTTACATATGACAACTTAACATTTGCGGTCTGCCAATGACCACCACAATTGATAATAAACATATATATACCTCCATCCATTATCTACATGATAGAAACGCACAAATTCAACCATTGTCAAAAAAGAATTAGTTTTAAATAACAAAATGAAAAGTACATTTCTAACAATTCATATATCAACATAACCCAAATACATATGATACAAAATGCTAGTCTCATATTCACTATACCATCAGATATGCTATAAGCTAGCTATAGCAATCAAAAGTTTAGGATTAAAGGGCAAAGTGAATGTGCACTAGATTTGTCAAAGGGCCTATTATATCTTTTACCGTACCATCAAATATACCAATAATCAAAAGTTTAGGATTTATCAAACTTAACTAAACTAGAAGCTATAGCAGTCAAACATATATGGCCCTGTGTCATATTTCACTATACTATAAGCTATAGCAGTCAAAAGTTTAAGATTTCTCAGACTGAACTAAACTATAAGCTATAGTAGTAAAACATATATGGGCCTCTCTCATATTTCACCATACTATAAGCCATACTATAAGCTTTGTCAATCAAATATTTAGGACTCATTCCCTATACATGCATATACCTGTCATAAAGGGCCTCTCCTATACACTATAACCTATATCAGCCAACTATTTAGGATTTCACTTAATTTTGTAGACACAAATAAATAGAAGTCAATTATTTAATTCACTTAAGTATCAGAGCCTTCAGTGTCATATACCCTTTCTGATATCATTGGAGGCTAAAAACCTCTTGCTTGGATCTCACTTTGTTTTAATTAAATAAAATTCGCTAAGTGTTTTACATTCTCCTAATTGAATTCCAATAGTCCACAAGCTATGAATTCTACATATATAAATTTAGTTGGATCAAAGGGGCCATTTCTACCCACTACATGATTTAGGCATTTCATCGACCACCTGGTGCTATTGATATCAGTAAGCAACCAATTCAATGAATATGCTACAATTACTCACGTGTGGGTCCTAGGTGTGCAATGAAGAGGACACATGGGTGTCAACACACCACATTTAACCCCCTGAAATAAACGCATGGCTCTAACACTGTTCAAATGGTCCCCATAGCCATTTTAACTAAACCAAATGGGGATGTGTCAAAGCAACAAGTTCTTTAACTGGTCCCCCACAAGGTAGCTCAAGAGATAATAAAATTCACAAAAAGAATAACCATGATACCTAATCGGTACATACCTAAGTGATGGCAAGAATTAATAAACAAATATATTCTAGCAATCCCACAACAAAAATCATCATAAAGAATTGTAAGAGAACCTCAAGAACAAGCCAAGGCAAAAGACAAATTTCATACTTCCAATGATAAGGTTTAGGGTTTAATTCCATTAGGATGGTAAGGGTTTTTCCACTCTGTGCAAGATGAATGAATATGGTTTTCCGTACAAACCTATACGCAAAATGACCTTCTTCACTGTCGCACCACTGGTCGGAGGTTGTAGCGGTCATCATTCCTCGTGACGGAGTTCCTCCTCTCCTCAAAAGAACGGTCTAACTTTTGAGAATGAGCTACTTTACAAGATTGTTTCGAACCAAGCCTATGTATTAAATAGAGGGACAATAATGTAATTTGATCCATATGCGCTCTTGTTGTCGGTTTAATAGAAGGTCAATAACAACGTAGTATAGTATGTGTTTGGTTTTATTTACGTTTTTGAGATTTATTTCTTAGTAAAACCGAAAAAGGTAATAATTACAACCATTTATGACACCTAGGAGCTAATGTCACCACATCACTGTAATAGTGAAAACATAGAAATTGAAGTTTTAAAAAAACAACTTTCCTAAACAGTAGACAAACATAGAAATTGAAGTCCACTTTTATCATTCTCGATGCATACGGAAGAGTATGAGAGAGAAACTGCTAAAATGGCACTTGTGTGGCAGTGTTTATTGAATAAACGTCCACGGAACCAAATACCCTCATAATTTCATTATTTCTGTCATGATTTAACAATAATGGCAATTGTCAAAAAATTAAAGGGTGGTTTAAGACAATTTCCTAAACGATAGGGGAAGTTTAAAAAATTTGCTCTTGATTAATTGATTAGTGAAAATAAGGATATGATAACATTTGCAAATTAGTTTTTTCAAAGAAGAAAATCCTTATTTGTAGAAAATTTTATAAATTAAGGGAGATACTTTCATTGGATTGCCTTGGAAAATAGTTTTATTGAAATTTCCATCATGCTAATGGTTAGGATGAACAGATATGACAAGGAGAGGTCATTCTATAGGCCCTTGAAGCTTTGGGACTTGAGAATGAATCCAAAATTATACATTAATGGTTGGGATTTGTACTAGCTAAAGGTATATCGAACCAGTGGCCAATGGGGCTCAACTAATTTCGTAGGCGGCCAAAACATTTTGAGTGATGCATGATAGTTAAGCAACCAAATTTTGTTGAAAGTCCTTTTGAAATTTGAGGAAAACTTGATCTTTTGAAATAATTGCATTTGATATTTTGAAAACTCACATATGAAAATCCTTTGTTGAATAGATGTTGAATAAGTTAGGCTGATCTACTTTACACTAGCTATAGATACAACCACTTTACTTTAGTCCAACTATACAAAGCCCTCATCTAAATAGAACTTTTATACACAATTGAATTTCTTAAAATAGGCTCCTTTTGTAGATGAATTTCTAAATGTGGGCTATATAAAATTTCACTTATCTTGGACTCTCCTATCCTAATTCAAAAAAAGTCACATTTGCCCCCATTTTACCACAAATTATTTTAACCCTAAAACTTACTCCACTGGAGGGGCAGCCACAAAAAAGTTATTAAATAGAGTAAAAAAACCAAGGAGGGGATGAAAAGATTTACCCTTTGAGAAGCTATACAAATGGTCATTAACTCATAAATATAGAAGCAAAATGTCTAATGAGACATAAATTAAAACCAACACATAGAAGGGAGACCCATGTTATTCTTCTCTAACCAGACAAATTATGTTACGTAGAAGCTCTTCCAATGAATGAAAAAGAAATGACTACTGATTATCCAATGAAAAATTGGTGAGAACGTTAGTAAGATTGTTGGCTTCTTTGTAGTTATGATAAAGCTCAAACCTCTCAAAGAGACTTACTCCTTTCTTTATCCATTTTTTGGTTTTCACAAAAAAAAAAAGGGTTCATTGGGTTATAGCTCGTATTAGATCAGTTTTATATCAAAGTTTGGTAAATGGTTCTCCTTGAAGAAGGTTCTATCCTACGAGGGGAATTAGGCAAGGAGACACCCTCTTCCCTTATCTTTTTGTGTTATGTACAAAGGTGCTTGCAAAAAAGCTTTGTATTCTCATTCTCTAATTTGTTGAAAACTATCTAAGATCACCATTTACCTGAAAATTAAAGAAATTCTCTAAAATTTTTCCAATGCTTTAGGCCAATGACCAAATTTCTCTAAGTTGGCTCTGAGGTTCTCAAGAAACTTTCCTCTGAAGTTACAGAAGATAATGTCTAAAAAGATTGAAAAGTCCTCTGGAATCGAGGGCTGACTCCTATTTGGGTGCCCCTACCATTAATGGTTGAGTTTCCAAGAGAATATTTAAAGATCTTTAAGGAAAAAAATTAATAGTAAACTTGGGGGTTAGAAAAGGAAACTCTCTTTCTAGAAGAGTCACTTTGATTGTTCAGCTTCTAGTATTTATAAGAGACCAAATCAGCCCCCCACAACCACCCACAGCACATTCCTGCCGTGTATTGGGAATATCTCCTGATGATAATCCTAGAAATGATGATGTCATCATCAGGAGATGTTCTCAAATACACGGCGAATATGTGCTGTGGGACGTTGTGGGGGGCAATCTCGTGGGGGGCTGATTTGAACTCTATTTATGAGACCTCAATTTATTATGAGGTCCTTCAAAATCCCAAACAATGTTATTAAGGATATTAATAAAACCTAGAGAAATTGGTTAAGTAATAATAATAAGAAGTTCATGCACTTGATGAGTTGGAGTAAAGCTTGCAGACCTAAAAGATGGGGAGGTTTAAGATTAAAAATTTTGCATTGGGTGAATGATGCAAATCTTGCTAAACTTGTGCGGAAATTTTTAAATGATAAAAATAATTTGCAGGTTTAGGTTGTATCAAATAAATGCTTGAAAAAGAATAATTTCTGGAATGCAAAAACTAACAAAAGCATTTCATATGCTTGGAGAGGGATTCTCAATGCTAGACCTTTGATTAATCATAGTATTGGGGGATTTCTGGAGATGGTAAGTCTATAAATTTTTGGAAGGATAACTGGGTGGTTGCCTGCTCGTCCATACCTGAAATAATTAATTGTGATCTTTATCATGTTGAGGAGGATTTTAACGTGAGTGAAGTTATTGATCATGAGAGAATGGTTTGGATGTGGAAGACCAAATTCCTAACCTTGTCCCTAATCTAGTGCGGAATAAGATTAAATCCACCTTCCTTCCGTCATCCTCTAGAGGTGATAATTAAAATGATTTGGAGGCTTGACCCTAAGGGGAACTTCTCTATTAGATCAGCCTATAATGAGGCATGTGTAGTTGGTAGAGGGTCGTTTGAGCCTAATTTGACTATTAGTAGAGTGCGGCAACTTAATGTTCCTCCAAAGATTAAGACATTTATGTTATTATTGCTTCATTATAGATTCCCAACTAGAGCTTTTCTCCTATTGAGGGGAATGAACATTGATGAAACTTGTATTTTTTGGGGAGAGGTGGAGGATCTTGATCATGTGTTTAAAAATTGTATCATTACTAAGCAAGTGTGGTCAATCATCAGCCTTATGATTTCGGGTCCTAAAGAGAGTGATGCTTCTATTTTAGATTGGTGGAAATGTTTTATCAAAATAGTGAAATCAAATTTACTTAAAAATTGTAGCCTTATGCTTTGGATGTTGTGGAAAAATAGAAATAACAAAATCTTCAACAACAAATGTCTTTCTCTACTTATTTTAGTTGTGTGGGTTAAATTTATTTTCTAAGATTAGTTGTTAATCCTCAGTCGACTCCCTCTATTGCTAAGTGTTGGAGAGACATAAGGTGGAAATTCCCCAAAATGGGTGATATCAAAAGTCAATTTTGATGCTTCCTAGAATGAGGATGGGGCTTACTCTATTGCTTGCATTGCTAGAAATCATTTTGGGAAAGTGCTTGTTGTCAAAGCCTATTTTATTGGGGTCAATCAATCTTGTAGAAGCTTGGGCAACTTGGGAAGCCCATATTGCTCTCAATTTCAGGAATTATCTATTTTGTAAGAAAGGTGATTCATTGTTGATGATCTTGTGCCTCAATAACCAATTTATTTCATTTTATAGGCAATTTACATATTTTCTTTTTATTACATATATATTCTTTTTAATATGAGCCTTAATTTTTTAAAATTTTATTTTTATTATATATCTATACCTTTGTTTATCTAAGAGTTAATTAATATCTACATACATTAAAATTATTTGCAATGTTTTATGCATTAACGGTACAATTTATTTATTTTATAGCAATTTTATATTTATATCCATTTGTTTATCTTAAAATCAATCATATTTTTTATGGTAATAGTTTACTTAAATAAAATTATCCATTTATTTAATTAATTTGCACATTTCATAGTTTTTTTCCTTTATATACAAAAAATCAAAACTATTTTTTATTTCATTGTATATTTTTCAAATATATCTTTTCTTTCATTTGTATATTTTATTTTTTATCAAACTATGTTATTTTTATTGTGATACTTTTTTTTAATTTTATTTTACATTTATAACCCTTTTTACCAAAAAAAATAACTTTACTTGATTTATGAATATTTTAGATTTTTTTAATATAATCCAACTTATAAATGATGAAGAATTAAAGCTAGTAAAAGGGGAGGGGATTATATTGGAGTGAATGTGAGCGAGCCAAAGTGAAACAGAACCCCCCTTACACAACAAAGGTGCCGGGGGCAGACCGGGTTGGGGGTCCATGGACGAAGCCCTCAGGCCAAAGCAAATTTGTTTGTACAAGGGCATTTTTATTTATTATAATTAGATTTGGAGAAAAGAAACCCTATTATAAAATATACATTTAGCAAGGGAAAAATAAATGGCATCTTTTATTTAAAAAAAATATATATATGTTATGAATTTTTTTCAGTAGAAATTGGCTTATTTTATTTATAAACAACTAAATAATCAATTTTCTTAAATTTTAACAAGTACTATAACTAGGATAATATTTCTTTATTTTACTTTTCGGTGTTAATGCTTTTTGTATGAGAATGAGACTTGACCCTCACCAATTTGAGACACAGGACGGTGAGGCATATGCATGTCAAAAATAGAGGCAATAGAAGAGGGTCAAGGTGCCTGAGGGCAGGAGTTTTGGCTCCACCTCACCTTGATGCATGCAGCTCAACGCCTCGCCTGAGTGCCTCCTAAAACTATTCCAATAAGTGGTTTGATTTGCATGATTCTTAGAAGATAGTCTCAAATGATTGGATTCATGCTCTAATAGGCTTTGATCTTTTTATTATTAGGTCAAGGATTGTTCCAAGATGAAAATAGTCCAAATTAACGACGTCACCAATCGGTCTTGAATCAGATGGATAATTAATTTAGATTCACGCAAAATGGATATATGCCTAATTTCAATATCTCATCCACTAGGCATCTCTAAAACTGTAAGTGGACATAATAAGACATAAAATGGGAATTAAAACAGGGCAGCCCCCAGGCTCCCACCAATGTGTGGGGCCTAAGGAGGGAGAGAGAGGCTGTTTACAAGATTTGAACCACCGTTGATTCTGATCCAATATTCCAGGTTGCATTTGAACCTGTTTGAGAGATGTTGCTTAGTAAGGGCATGTTTATGAAGCTTTAACCAGACCCCACAATTTGACTTTAATTGTAACAAATTTATGATTATATGATATACATTCACCAACTTGAGGGATGTAATTGTAATTAAACATATTTAGTGAATAATATTATGTACCCAGCTGCTTGCTAGGTGTGAGAAACTTGATATAATCTCAACCGAGCAGAGCAGAACAGTGGGATTTTCTCTTCCTTAGCTTACGGTTAGAGCATTTTTCTTCTTTCTTTCCCTTGTTAGTATCTTAACAGGTTACAAGAAGTGAAAGGAAATCCTTCTGACATGAGCTTCTCTTGAATTCTTCAGTTATTGACACTTCATGAGCAAACAATTATCCTTGATACAAAACGAAGAGGAAATGTATGGGCTTTGTGAATTGAAAGAGATTCCAATTAGCTTACATCCTTGAGATTTGGAGTGGAACTGTGGTTTCAATAGTTTCATCCCTCAAAGAAATCAGCTGGAGGAGTTCCAACTTACCTAGGTTCTTCAGTAGATGCCTGCGGCAGTCTCCAGCAGCATACACTCCAGCTGAATAAGCTCCATGTACTGACCCTGCATGCTCCATACTCACAGCCTCCCCAGCAAAAAATAGGTTACCTACAGGTGCTTGAAGCCTCTGATACAAATCCTCAGGTTGGCCAACCACGTCATAAGAGTAGGAACCAAGAGAGTTGGGATCAGTTCCCCAACGTGATACAAGATACTGCACCTGCAAATCAAAATTGATGATTGAACAAAAGATTCTAGCTTCAAATACAGCTCCTTAAGTAGGGTTACAGATTGACAATGTGATATTCTTGAGTGACCGCCCCCTTTTTTATTTTTGTATTTTAGATATTGTACAAATAAGAACAAGAGGAGCATGAACCATGTAATAAAACAGTGTCACATGGTTAACGAGTATAAACCATGTACAACAATGTATACAAGGCCTCCCTGCACAGCAAATAGACCACCACATCGGCTGCCTCTCCATCCTTCCAATGACCAATCAAGGGGATAGCCTTTTCTTCAATCTGTTGCACTCCTTCCAAAAGCACCAACATAACAATAAAGAGAACAAATTCCACAATATATGACATTGGCTACCAAAACCCCTTAATGGCAATGAAGAGAACCAGATAATCTTTGAGTATACAATTATAACTGATACAACCAAACGTCACAAATATTTATGGAAGAGGTTAATTCAGCAAAAAGAACAAATGACAAATTTGAAGCTTTACAAACAACAAAGTTATCATCCAGCTTCTTTTCTCTTAACCTGAGATTTAATCCAATTTCATAATCTTATCTACCATTGAGTCCACATAAAGAAGTAGATTATAGATGGGGCATTGAACTTTTGTTTCCAATTGAAAAATCATCTGAATTTAATACGTTGTTTTTCTTTTTTTTTTGGAGTAATTAGGTGGGTAACATAGACTTCTCATAAAAGGAGGAAAACATTTTCTCCACAGCTTTTCCTATGAGCAGACTTCTTTGCAAATAACTAATCCAAACACAGTTGAGTCATAACATTTCATCATACCTTTAGACAATTTATTATGATGAATAGCATCATTCTATGCAACTCTGAAAGAATTCTTTTATTTCAGAATATAATTTTGATAAAAAGAGATGATTCTCCTAAACAAAAATGTCCCATATGTAGGAAGAAAATTATAGATAAGTACTGAATTTCATAGCGCTTACCGGCTCTGTTGCTTCAGGAAGCATCTTCTTGAGCTGTAACATCGCAAAATTAACTGTAGCCTCATCAGATAACTTCTCCATGTCATATGCAAACCTTCCAGCAGCCATATAGACAAGCACAGGGTGACCGGTAGCTTTGTGAAGATTTAGAAAATAGCCACAAGCATAAGATGTTGATGCAACAACACCCAACAGTTCCACGTTTGGCCAGAATACTGTGTCAAAGCACAATGCAATTTTATTCTCAATGCCAACACCCAATTCAGAAATTGCATCAACCTTCCACTGGGGTAACCTTGGCTCAAATTCAATTAGATTGGCTTTGAGAACCCCAAGGGGTACAGTTATGACAGCAGCATCTGCAACAAAGTTTCTCCCATCCTCAACAGTGACCAACACTTTACTATGGCAATCAGCAATCTTCTTAACCCTTCATCAAGATTTATAAAATAATTAGAATTTACAGAATGAATAAGAACAAAAGCTGACTGCTAGTAATGATTAGTACAATAGACCAATGCTCAATGCTTTTTCCTCTTGTAAATGTTTGTGCTTTTGAACTTGCATAAATCAGTTAGATTTTTAAATCCAAATTTCTTGTAAAAGATAATTGTAACAGAATTTGTGTTCCTATTCATGTATAAAGGGACAAGGAAAAATTTTTTCTAGATCCAAATTCCCAGTAGAACACAATAACATAACAGGCACAGAAATATATTCAGAAGAACGAAACAGTGTAGATAACTATCAGAAATTAGGCTATACCTGTGAAAGAAAATGGGTTGTTACTGAGTCCTCAAACTTTACCCCACTGTATTCATTTTTTTTTCCCTATATGTAGATGGTATCCTTCTAGGGGTGGCAATTTTGACCCCAACCCATCTGACCCACCCATACCCACCCACTTTAGTAAAGGGTCATTATGGGTTGAGTGACCCATTTGGGTCAAGGAAAAAGGGTCAGGGTGGAGTTGGGTTGAGGGTACCCATGGGTCGAAATTAACACTAGTCATCTACCAAATTAGCTTTTAGGGTTTGAAGCAAGTGTTAAAAAAAGAAGCTGGAAAATTTTGAGGAACTTTCAGTCACTAATCTTGTCGTCGCCGGTATGTCCATCCCGATTTTGTTCTTCTTCCTCTTCTCATCGCCACTGCCGGTATCAGATATCAGTTTCAAATCTATTATTCTACCTTTCCTCCTCCTCCCCTCTTCTTCTTATTATTCTTATCGCCGCCGGTGGCCAATACCACCGATCTAGATTTCAGATCTACTTCCTCCTTCCCTCTTCTTCTTACTCTTTTTATCGCCGTCTCTGGTACCACCGATTAGGTCTTCTGATTCTTACTTCTCCCCTCTTCTTATTCTGGCATTGGGCCAGATCTAGGATGGCATGGCCGCCAATTACAGAAACCAGAGCAGAGGCGATTTTTTTTGCAATTTTTACATTTTTATTATATATTAAAATTGCATCATTTTCTTTATTTTTTGGTATTATCTGAAGTATATGATCGTTTTGATTTTTTTATATTTGAATTGTTTTCTGTAATTTATTATTTTTTGTTGAAATATATAAATTTTGAAAATTTTATGATTTCAGGTATTTTACACAATTCTTGTTTTATCTTTTTTGTTGAAATATATTTATTTTGAATTTTTATCAATTTATGTATTTTATGTAATTTCTATTTTTGTGAAATATATATTTTAAATTTTCCTTGTTTCTGCAATTTGTATTGTTTTTTCTGTGAGTTTTTGTTTTTTTTTTTTTGCTAATTTTGTGTTTTTATTATTTCTTTGTATTTTTGTCTTTTTCTGTAATTTTTTTATATTTATAGATTTATTTGGTATAATATTTATATTTTCTTAATATTTGCATTGGGTTAATGGGTCATATGGGTGGGTCAGGGTGAAGGTGGGTTGTAACCCACTAATACCCAATAAATATGGTGGCAATGGGTCAATGGGTCAATATGGGTGGGTTGGTACTCAACCCACACCCAACCCAACCCACCCATTTGCCACCCCTATATCCTACTTTGTGGCATACAAGGAAAAGCAATAAATGCAAATAGAGAATATGCAAACCCTTAATGTTCCAAATATTTTACATGCATACAAAAGATTGCTGAGAGAGGATATGAATTAAACTGGGATATGTTTTAACAATGAGGAAACCTTGATTTGTTAGCAGAAAGAGAAATCTTCCACAAAAAGCAAATATTTCATACAGATCAAGCTACAGAACACCTCTGTTATATAACCAAGATTTTTTTCTCCTAAGTCAAGCATACCTGTGATTCAAGCATATATCGATATCTTTTGCCAAAGCCTTTATTACAGGGTAATAACCTTGTTTCATTAGTCCATGACCACCAGAAGGAACATTTTCCTGCATCAAATTTGCCAAAATATACTCAACCAAGTTACCTGCTAGATAAATAAACCAACATCGACTTTAAGAATATACTAATATTCTACTTCTACCAAACAGAAACCAACACAAATGTCTGAAGTTTCTATAAACTAACAAAGTAGAAAAATATTGAACTTCACTTTTTATATATTAAAAAGAAACACCTGAAGAATGATATACTTAAGTTATTTATTTGTTCAATAGGCATGGTCAAAAAAAAAAAAACAATTTCCAGTAATTTGAGTGTGTTTCATCAAATATTATCTTTCTGGTTTTAATTTTTTTTATTGGAAGCGGTAACTTCATTAACAGTATTAAGTACAACTGTCAACCCCTAAACAGGTATTGAGTCCCCAGTAATCTTTATTACAAAACTGCCCAGAACATACCCTCCCTCACAGTCCCTTGTTTTAAATTCCCAATTCTTTTTATTAGCAAACATCATTTTAAACAAAAACAATAATTTTTTAAAACACATAACTATTGAGGTTTTCTTTCATAAAAAGAGGTAGCACAAGGACTAAAATGTTTTTGCTTTTTACTTGATATTTAAATGTGTAAGTCCATCATCTCAAGCATCACGAGATCACAAGACTGTTAAAAAAAATAGGAATGAGGTCATCTTAGGGTCTCAAGAAATGAGCTATCTCTCTGGTGGCAATGTAATTTTAGATTTTTTTGTTTTATTTGTATACTGATTAAAAAGTAGAAGCTCTACCAATTGAATCAAGTAGGAAAGCTTACTAGACAAGCCTACATATCTATATTCTGAGAAATATTTACCATCTGAAAAGTGGAAAAAATGGAGTCTTTGTCTAACATGCATGCAATGGTGCAATTATCTAAGTTTCACCCTTTTAGATACTTCTTCAGATTTATTGCTGATACTAACTAGCAGTTACAAAGTTGTATAATTGTATCCATTTTTCCTGATAATATGCACCGATCAGATATATCATGGCCAATTCCTCAAAAAAAATGGTGTCTTCCACTATGGAATCTAATAAGTGAGATTTTGAGTAAGTGCTTACATAATCTTCTTCTGTCCAAAAAAAAATGATTCATCGAAATAATGARTCACCCATTCCATTGATATGGGCACATCTGAGATCACCAACGTTCAGGAGTTCCTCTATTGAATCCTTCTTCTTCTTATTGTTACTGGGTATCTCATTCATACACATCTTCTCTTTGTTTCCTAAGCCTCTAGTGTGTTAAAGATGATAGTGCTCGAAAAGATCAAATCTTTGATGAGTCCATTATGTATGATGGACTATTGAAAACTTCTAGACAGATATCCTAAATCTGAACTGAATTATTTCCGGTTAGCACAGAAGAATCCTTCTGCCAAACTGAATATAGTTATCAATACAGTTGCAGACTGATAGCTTGGCAACAAGGTCCTCCATGAATGCCTCGTTTGGCTAGATCCAGCCTTTGATTATATTGAATTTGAAATATTAATACAGCATACAGTGTACTTTGTGCATCATATCACCTCATATATGGTAACAAAAGCTTGTTACCATTTACTCTTTATAACAGTTTAACTGCCATAGTTTGAGGACTACAACCTGAAGCAAAAAAGCAAGCTATCTAATTTTATAGTAAACAAGGGTAGAAAATAGAAGCTTAGCCCTCCTTTGCCCCCCCCCCCCTGCTCTGAGCAGTTGCTCCTCTATTCTTCTCCCTTCATCCACCCCCCCTCTCTCTCTAAATAAAGAGATCCTTTCTTTTTCCCTTTCTCCCCTTTTCCTCCAAGTCTTTGTGCATGTCTGTAAAAATCTGGGGCTTACATGACATTGTTATTCTTGTAATAGAACCCACTTTTAATCCTTTATAATCAAAGTCACCTTTTATAAAAAAACAACAATAATAATTTTGAAATGTAATCTTTTCAGCAAATGTTATTTTTTCCAATTGTTGGTTGTAAATTTTCTTTGTATGTTTAATCATGCAATTGCAATGCTATGTTTTTAAAATTTATCTCAATAACTTGCCATGTTAAATATGTTCAGTTTTTTTTCTTTTCTTTATTTATTTTTGATGATTAACCCAATTCAAAATTATCCCAGTATCCCACATGTATTGCAGTTCTGACCAAGTTGTGTACTAGCCACCCAAAGTTAATGTTCCAACTTTTAGTAATTTCCCCCAAAGAATGGCTTCTTTCATCCAGGTGAGAAATTCCATTAACTGAGAAATGAGAGGAATATGTGGGGACCAAAATGTTTTCCACTAATGATATCCTTAGAGGATGGTCTTGGGTGGCTGCATCATTGACATCCAGGTAAAGTCCACAACCAATTTAGAAGTCACCAGGTCACAACCACATAAAGCTGAATTTTCATGGTTGTTCAATAGGGAACCCAGGACCTTCAGGTATTGGTAGGGTGTTTCCAAAATGAGCATGGCACCATAATAGCATTATACTCACGACCAATAGGCCAAAGTGGCTTGGTGACAGATAAAACAAGAGCAATTTTACATGGGATGAGAGTGGCTAAAGCACTCAACTTGGAGAATATACTAGTGGAACTCAATTCAAGGCTAGTAGTAGAATGGGTAAAGAACAACAGTGAAGGGACTGGAAAGCCAAACAAGGGATGAACAACACAGATTTTTATAGGGCTAAATTGTGATACGAGTAAATCTAACCACAGATCAGTGAGATTGGTATGGGTGCACAGCCTATATAATTTATTCATTCTTATGAGCTTAATAAAACTTGTACAGTTATGTATAGAGAGAGAGAGAGAGAAAACCATATGGCTACATGGAAGATTCCCCAATTAACAGATGCACCCCAAAAATAATGTTAATCTATTAAGCCATATGTAACTTTTTGGTGCTTCTCTGTTTTTCTTTTTTTATTCTAATAGGCCTAAGTCTTTTTATTTGTTTATTCTAGCAGCCACCCTACTAAGGGCCTTCTTGTAATTTTGCATTCAATTATGATTAGAACTAATAAAACACAATTATGGGGCTGGGAGGCTGTTACATTTCTCTTCTCTCAAAACCCTATTTTTTTCTCATCTCTCTTCCTTGTGATCTGAATCTTCTCTTATTTTCTATCTATTTTTTCTTAATTGAAAAAGGAGATTCTTCCTTTTCTGTTTTAGCCACTATTTTTCCTCAGCCTACCCCAAAACTATATCAGAAGCATTATCAAAACCTCAATGGAGGGATGCTATGAGAACTGAAATGGAAGCATTGCTTAAGAACAATAAATGGAAGATTGTCGACTAGCTTGAGAGGAAGGAACCAATTGGTTGTCAATGGGTGTATACCATTAAGTGTTATGCAGATGACACTATTGAACGGTATAAGGTGAGACTTACAACTAAGGGGCAAACATAAAAGATCCAGCTACCTAAATCTATGATGAACTACTAGAAAGAAGACTCCCTACTCAGATAACAACAACATTAACAACTCAGAGATGCCACGTACCTGATCCCAGGTCTTTAGTGAGATCATATCAGCATCCGCAGCAAACCAAGCTTCCATTCTGCATATGTACCACTGCATGACTTCATGTGCAAGTCCTTCTTGTCTACAAAAAGGATATTAGTGTGCATCAGTAAAATCAATTTCTCCCACATCTGGATTAGGAAATAGAAAAAAGTGAAGGCATGGGGCACATTTAATTATTTCTCCGGACCTTAAATGTGGATGCCTATCCAAAACAATTGAAATGGCCTGAAGAATGGACATGTCTTCACTATGTTCATCCCTTACTTTCTCCGTCTGGAGTGCTCAAGAAATTCATCATTAATTTGTTAATAGCTATTGAAGCACAATCAAAGTTGTAGCATAACAAGTGGATATAAAATTTAATTTAAAGTAAAGAGGTTTTTTGAGAAAAGGTATAGAAAAGTAACTTGTTAACATAACAAGTTAATTTAAAGTAAATATGTAAACCTCTTTGAGAATTTTCTTGAATATCTCTCCAACTTCAATGACCAGCTGTTGAGGAATTTGATGGCCATCCACATCAAAAAGCACAAAACTGCAATACCATACCCAGATGTGAGATTGGTGATGCTTCAAACGTTATCATATGGCATGACTAGGGTTAGCGAACAGTGAAGCTATATTTAGGGTTATTTATATAAACCAGCAGGAATAGCAAGTTATACACATTTATTAATAATAAAGAAATAAATAGGACAGAGGCAAGAAATTTGGGCTAGGTCAAGGAAAAAACAATCCCAACCCAACTAAAAATATAAAAATAAAATAAAGTTCTCATTAAGTAGCCACTCCAAAGAAAAAAAAAAAAGAAAAAGAAAAAAATAAAATAAGGTAATGGGTTTCTGGAAGAGTCAGGTTAATAATTTCAGAAATTAGTCTATCCCATGTAAAATAAATGAGAATACTGATTTGATCAGCTGTCTCTGGGATGTAAAATCTATGACTGAGAAATGGACAATAAGCATGAAAGGTGTGACAAAACTTACCTTTCTAGATCATGGTCATATAACACAGAGTTATCACCACTAGTGCGGTACAGTGGAAGTCCTAGACAACGTATCAGTGGTGCCAAGGAATTCTCATTGCAAACACCATGTAACCTGAATCAATCAAAATTTAGAATACATATATAGAGAAAACAACTTTTTTTTCTTGTTTTTCTTCGTCTTTTATGTCTTTTCCTTACTGCAACATGGACATGAATGCATATATATATATATATATATATATATATATATATGATGGCCAGAAAGAGACATTTCTAAGGTTGACAGCACAAGTAGTAACAAAAGAAATATGAACTTGCCATGATGCCCCCATGTCAACAGGGCAACCAAATGAGTAGTCAGTATGAATACGACCACCAAGTCTATCCCGTGATTCTAGCAAGAGAACCTATACATGATTAGAACATTAAGTCAGTTAAGAAAGTGGAAAAAATAAACCCGATCACCTAGAAGAGACACATATGAGGTGGAAAACAGTCACCTTAAAAGATGCATTAAAGAGAGAACGAGCAGCTGCTATTCCCGAAATCCCACCACCTATTACAATGACCGAAGGAGAGGAAAGTTGTTGCCTCTCAAGAAGTGAGACAAAAGTTCCTAAAGATAGGAAAACTAAATATCTTAAGATTTCATGCTTGAATAAAATTGATCTAAAAGAATAAGATACAAACAAATAAAGAATAGAAGTTAAATGAAACAGAGAACTTATAACCAATACAGCACATACCAAAATTCAATTTTTTTTGTCATTTATTTTAATCGGGAAAAATACAAAGTGAACTCATTGTATGGATATTGAAAGAAGATTTAGCCACAAGTTCGTTAATAGTACAACTGTATAACTAGCCCGCAATCAATAAGTGGTTTAGTGATAGATAAATTATGAAACATGAGAGAAACTCTGGAGTCAAGATATATATATTTCATAGAGTCATCTTCGTAAATACTAAATGTCATAATTAACTAACTATTCTCTTGTATATAATTTTGTTTATAAATAAAAAGAGAATTATAAGCTGACATTTAATGGATTGGTAGTGAAATTTTCTCCTAAACAAATTTGTTTCTGGTGACCTCTTTGAAACTGAAGGTTCTTGGATGAGAAGTTGCATAGATAGGTTAAAAATTGTGATATGAATAAAAAGATGTGTAGGAAGTAAGTTCAACCTCCTCATGTTTGCCAAGAGTCAAAATGTCTGTGCTACGTGGCAACCCTTGTTCCTGTCATCCATTAGATTAGGGACCCCATGGATGGCTCATAAGTTCAAACTGAGTAACCTTATTATTCCATCATGTATTGCCCTTTTACTAGTAATACTGTCTTTAGAAGTTTCAAATGTAATGCCCAGAGTACTTCATTTTGTATATGATACAGTATGCTATTGGCATAAAATAAGCCAGATGAAGAGGGAAAAGACAGTTGTGCTTGAGCATTTTTAGCTATATTCTTCATAATCGGTTCCGTATCCAACTTGTATACTTAGGGCACCATTTTATCCAACTTTGACGAAAAAGTAAAATTTCCAATAAAAAAGTACTAAAGGCATCACCAAAAATACCAATCTAAGAAAGCTGCCAAAGATGCATCTACCATTCTTCTAAAAGACCAGTAAAATTAATCACCCAAAAGAAAAACTTTTTGAGGAATCAAGGGGGAGGCTAGAGAAAATAAAAAAGAAAAGACAAACTATTCCTAATAAACAAACATTAATGGCAAGAACAAACAAATGGCTAGCATTCTTAATAAAACAGAAGATAAGAATTCTGATAAATAAATACTAATATCAAGATGGAACCATTAATATAAAAACCGAAAAGGAACAAACAAAAGGCTGGCATTCTTAAAAAATAAACATTCATATCAAGATTCTGATAAAACAGAACATGGAAATTCACCATTTCTACAGTTGTTACTATTGCCTTTCTACATTTTTCTACTCTGGTAGTTGAAAGTAGTTGCTTCAGGGAATAGGGGACGACAAGTCTACAACATTTTTCAAGCATTGACCAAAAAAGATTTTTAAAAGAAAAAAAGCCAATAATGTTCTAATACAAATCAAATAAACTCTACAATTCCGATAATTATAACAAATGTGCATCTTCCATATTTCTCCAAGCACTAGCCAAGATAATCAAGTAACCTTCTTAGAAACAATTCCCACAGAACAAGCCCATGTGTGCTACAGCCATAGAAATAGGAAAGAGAACGAAAAAAAAAAACAATACGAGTGTCCAAACAAACTAGATCAAAACAATCCCGATAGTAGTAGATACATCACGCATTAAATCACAAAACACGAAGATCCAATATCCAAAATCGGAAGAAAAACTTCAACTAACCATCAACCAAACCGTTGCAGACCGATTCCTTGGGCTTCATTATAAAAACCAGAAAACAGCAAAGATTGAAAAGCGTTCAAGGGTGTATAGGAATCAAGAAATTAGAAACTAACTGGAAGGAATGATAAAGGATAAAGATCAGAAGGCCGGCAACAAAGTTGCTGGAATTCGACGAACAACGCAGCTTATCAAACCAGCTCATACGTGAAATTAGTCAGTTCTTCAAAAATTAAAGAGACTAGGACGAGAAGACACGAGAACGGCAAAATGGAGGAGTTGGGTTTTGGCTTCACAGATCGATGGGTTCCTCTTCCGTCTCTGAAACTCCCTTTTAACAACCAGAGACCCCCCCGCGAGTTGCCTCTCAAGTCTCCAACCGAACGAGAATTTTCTCAATTGGACGAAAGTGCCATTCCTTCTCACTCTCCAACCAACCCATTATGTAAGGGTATATTCGGCATCTGGAAAAGGTTTATTTATTGTGGAACTTTCTTGTAGGATTCGCCTTCCTGTGTAAAATGACCGGAGATACCCTTCCTTTTATGGGTATTTTAGTCTTTTCACCTGATAAGTGGTACACCGCACCTCTTATGTCGGCTTGGAGCGGTGGGAAGGCATGAAATGCCCTTCACTTTTCAACAAATAACTCACGTTTGGCACTGTGCTGAGCATGAACTGATGTGAGGGCACTTTTGTCTTTTAGTGAAGAGATTTTCTCGGATCTGGACCTTTTGTTGTAGGGACTGTTTGGACTCTTGCGACAAGTTGAAAGGAGACCAACCTGGATTTTCCGTATTACACGTGGATCTTACATGGGTTTTGGTTAAAACAAATCTCGGGTAGCCCAATCACTCAATCAGTGCAGTCTAAGCAAACAAGCTCGTCAATTTGATTACGTGGAGTCAGACCCCTCCGTCCAAGGCCGCTAAACGTGAGTGGGACCCAGGAAGAAACAGGGGTACCGTTACGAATTTCTGTTCGGGTTTTCGGGATTTATTCAACGTTGTCTGTCTGGATCGGACGGGAGAAGATGGTTCAACCGATGAAGGGTGATCAAATGAGTTTTCTAGGACGAGATCGGCTTCCGTCAGGGCAAACTCGTGCCCACACTTCTAGGACCTGGTTATTTGCCGAGTCTCATGGACTGAATTATCTAATTGGTTAATTAACTAGTAAGACCATGATTCAGCGAGATTTACAATTTTTTGTTTCGTCTATTTGGAAATGGATTTTCTCTTCCATCATGTCATAAATCAAAGAATAAAAATGTAAGATAGATAATAATAATATATATAATTGTTGTATATTTATTATATTAAATAAAATAAATGTTATAAATGAGAATTATTTACTACTAATAACAGAAATGGCTAAAAATAAGAAGAAACAGAAATATCAAATGATTCATAAATCCACCAGCCGAATCATCTATACTATGGCCATGTTTGGGAGTAGACATATTCATGGGTTAGGCTCGGGTTTGACTTTTGTCAAAATTCTAATGGGCCCGAGCCCAAGACAATGTAAAATTGGGCCCGAAGCCCAGCCCATGAATTGGTCTATTTGAGAGTGATCATGTTAAAAATAAATGCTTATCGAATAAGTGCTTAAAAACAATTGTTTATTCCAATAAGCACTTATTTGCATTTGGCACCCAACTTTTTCAAGTGCTTATCTATACTACCTATAAAAGAGCGAATGTCCCTTCTTTCTAGAATTTTCATTGGACATTTTTCTATCCCCCTTGTTTAAACATACAATGGGCATAAAGAGGGCATATATGTCATTTACTCTCATTTTAGAAGCTGCCCACTTATAACTGCTCAAAAATTGTCTATGAATTATAAATAGTTTTGTCTTAGAGATACTACCACGTGCAAATGCACGTAGTAGTTTTAAAACTAGTATAGATAAGCACTTTCTAGAATTTTCATTGGACATTTTTCTATCCCCCTTGTTTAAACATACAATGGGCATAAAAGAGGGCATATATGTCATTTACTCTCATTTTAGAAGCTGCCCACTTATAACTGCTCAAAAACTATCTATGAATTATAAATAGTTTTGTCTTAGAGATACTACCACGTGCAAATGTGTGCAAATGCATGTAGTAGTTTACTAGTTTTAAAAAATAAGCACTTATTTCATATTGGGCATTTGGTAGTCTTTTTTCTCCAATAATCACTTAAATAAGCATTTATAACTATTTTGTCCTTCATTTTCTTTCAAATTTTCAAAATATATCCCTATGAACTTTTATTATATTACTTTTATAAAAACACTTTTATGAAAGTACTTTTACGAAAGCACTTTTATAAAAATAACTTTATGAAAAGTACTTTTATACGAAAACACTTTTATGAAAGCATTTTTATAACAGTACTTTTATAAAATTACTTTTATGAAAGTACTTTTATAAAAAGCATTTTTACAAAAGTACATTTATGAAAGTACTTTTATAAAATTCAACTAGGGATAATTTTGGAAGAAAAAAATTGAGTAAGTGCTTATTGTTAAAAAAAAGCTAGGAATTTGGGCTTAAAAAATAAGCCCTTATTTTAAAATAAGCACTTATTTCAGGCTTATTTCCCAAACATCAATAAGTGCTTAATGGTATGGTCCCGGCCCAAATAAGCACTTATTTTTAAGCAAACCCAAACATGGCCTATATTATATAGTGACATAGGCTACATCAGCAGCCCTCTCCTTCTCCCATTCCCCCTTATCTTTCTCCCTTACCCCTTCCCAACCCTTTCATGTAGCCAAGTGGTAACTCTCAAGTCCCACTCCATCTCTCTCTCTCTCTCTCTCTCTCTCTCTCTCTCATGTTCCCAATCACTTTAGCCAATCCCCTTCTAAAATTTCTCCTAAACCATCTCTCCCACCTAAAACACCTCTTATTTAAATGCTCAATAAACCATCTAAAAACCAAAAACATGGTTAAATTAATTTGCCAAATATTTTTATATTTTCAATAATTACTACTATTATTGAATATTATTCAGTAAATATCAACACCCAAACTATAATCTTTCATAATTTTGGTAAATTGGAAAATTTAATTACTAAAAGTTAATTGTTGAAAATTGTTTATTTTGAAAAATTAATTTCATAAATTTTTGAAAATTAATTATTGAAATCAATAATTATTGGAAAACTAATAATTAATTAAGTTTTCATTGGAAATTTTATTTCAATAAATACAAATTAATTTTTTACATTTTCACTAATTTTATCAAAATCAGTAATTTTTTAGCAATAAGTAGTTATCGATATTATCAGTAATTTTGGTCAATTTATTAAAATTTAATGATGTTATCAGATAATAATTAAATTTTTTCAGTAATTTGTCAATGGAAAATTAATTTGAATAAATATAAATTTACTTTTTATATTTTCAGTAATTTTGATATTTACTATAATTTTTTAGCATTAATTAGTGTTTTTGATAATTTAATTTAGTGGAGGTTAAATTATAAAACTTCCAAGTATTCAAATAAATAATTGGAAATTTTAAAAGTTTTCATAGGTATTGAATACTACGTTTATAATTACCATAATTATTGGAACTATATTTATGGGTTTGGGGGATGACCCCCCCCCCTCCAAGTAGGAATGGCAATGGGTCATAATCCCTGTCCCAACCCCAAGTTTTAAATTAATCACCGTCTTTGACTCCGATCCCCATTGGAAAAAAAATTTAGTCTACATCCCTGGTCCCTAATGAGGAAGCCCCATCAAGGATTTAAATCCCCAAATTTTTTAATTAAAGGTTTGTTTTCAAAAAGGTATTTATTTAAAAAAAGGAAAAATTAAAATGCAAATAATAATTTAAATATATTTAGATATAATATAATATAAATAATATTATAAATAACATAAATAATATTATATATTTAATACTATATATATATAATCAGGGTTGGTCGGGGTGTGGACTTCACTCCCTATCCCCTTCCCCAATTAGGTATTCCTATTAATCTCATCTCTATACCCATCATCGCCTGGTTGGGGAGGTTGGGTACTCGACGGGGATGGAGAAATTACTATCCCTACCCCTGCATTGTGTAGCCCCATAGAGCAATAAGTTTTAAACCCAATAAGTCCTAACATCTTTTTCCCATGCATTACACAGGGGGGCTACTAGCCTTATGAGATCTAATTTAAAATAATTCTACTATTATGACTTTTACTCTACATAAAGCAATAAGTTTTAAGCCCAATAAGTCCTAAATATTTTTTTTTCTTGTGCGATGCAAGGGGCACTAGCCTTATGAGATCTGATCCAAAAAAATTCTATCATTATGACTTTTACGCTTTGACTACTATCTCTCTTTTTTCTCTATGCTTGAGATATCTTTATGGCCTATAAAATGACAATTTAATTTAGACATCTTATAACAAAATATTACATGTAAATTAGGAGAAAATTAATATAAAAAAACATTTTACCAAAATAAATGAGAACACATTGGAAATGTAGATCCTATTGATAATCAAGACCATGGTTTTAAAAATTGGACCAAAAACGAAATTTATTTTGACCATTGGTTCTTATATCAAATGACCCAACCATTTGGTCCGAACTCCAATCGCACAATTTTGGAGTTCAACCAATCCGACCATCTAATCTAGTCTAGTTTTAAAACCATAATCAATACACAAAATGCATATCCAAAAGAAGATCTTGATAATCAACACTATTGTGATCCCAAACTCTATGTGATAGGGTTAAATTGACAAATTTGTTGAGTTGATCCAGGTCATTGACAATCCTAGATAAATGTTAGATTTGAGCATACAATAATATCAAGAGGTTTTTATAGTTCAATCCACCTTTAGGGTGGAGCTAAGATTTCTAGGGATGGAGTAAATCCTGTCCATGGATTGATGTCAAATTCACGGATAGGATGTGGTTTATAGGGGGGCCTACTAGTAGACTAAGAGGGGGTGCAATTTCAGATTCAATAATCGGTGCATATTAATATGATTAATTAATAATCTATTCTTTATTTATAGGTATAGGTATGCATATATTAGAAAAATGAGAGAAAGGAATCGGTTTTAAAACTTTTAAAATATTTGTGTATCAATCTATCCATACATATCGGGATGTAGTATACCGATAAAATACACTTGGTACGATACTTTTAAGGGTGTATTACTATATGGTATATATTTGTATGGTCAAGATCTTTTGCACTATTTTACAATACACTACACCATGGTTTTTAAAATCAACCCGGAGATCGAACCGATCAAGGGTCCTGTTACTGGGTCGAATGGTTGGCCTATTTTGACAAAAAAATTAAAAAAAAAATGAAAACCGGTCAAAACCGCTAGAATGGTTAACT